TCATGGAAGACAACTTGGAAGACTATTTTGGGGGTTCAACGCACACAAAAAAAACAATACATGCCCAGATGGCCTGCTGCCCGGCGCGTCCCGAGTAAGGTAGCCTGGATCGGCGTCCACAACGAATTGCCCACAAAGTAGATCCAGTATCCGCCGTACGTGTGGTGGACCGAGTCGCCGCCGATGACCATGAAGCTGGTGCTGGAGACTAGTGGGACCCACCTTAGCAAGCAGCAGGGAAGACTACGCCCATACCTGATCCGTCACTCGTCCACCAACCCATCTCCTTCCTCAATCTGTCTCCGCCCATTAGTTCGTGGACCCAGGCGTGCGTTGCAGAACTTTTTACCCCACGCCCACTGAATCACCCATCTTCTGCCATCTTCTATCTTCTGTCTTTGCGGGTGCAATTGCAAATTGGCGGGGGTCTGAACATGCTACCCTAAACTTTATGCCCACCTGAATACCGCCGAGATTTGGAGCTCGCTCCAACTTGCGTCCTCCTCTCCGCCGTCCTTATCCTTACGACGTCCGAATACGATTGAACGGTTTGCCTTGTCTTGTAAATGTTCTTTCATTCGTTTGGTCTGGCAGAGCGTTTGACGGGAGTTGGGGCTTGCGGCTTGCGACTTGCGGTGCTGAGGGGCCCGGGGGGACTTTTATCAAGACATGGGACACTTCAACAAAGCTGCAAGGGAGTCGGTGTCATAGAATGTCAAGACGTTGAACTGTTGCAGATGATGGCGGTCCAGTAGATTCCTCTATAGGGTCCAGACCCTTAAAAAAAAAAAAAACACGCCCCTCCCCCTCGAAAAAATCGTAGATCTTGGTTCCTCGTAACTTACCGCCAGCGACTTTCCCTCCAAGAAACGTCCCGGGTTGAGTTACTGATGTCTACGATGACATTGCCCCCGAGCGATCAGATTTGTTTGCATTGTTTCAAGGAAGGACTTTTGTTTGCTTTTTGTCGAGTCCAAGGGATTCCCTCTTCTTGGCCTTCTTGGCATCCGCTAAACTTTTTGCTCTCGGTATAAAAGGCCCGCAGGCCATGATCTCTAAAACCCAACCAAGAACAAGATCCGTCCCGTCCTACTTCCTACTGCGTCCCTTCTCCAATCGTGCCCACCCCCACACCTAACCACCATCATGCTTTTCAAAATCAAGTGGGCTTTGTCCATGCTGGCTGTCATCCCTCTCGCGACGTCCGTGCTCTCAGCGCCCGTCGACGTCCCCGAGAAAGAGACCGACCTCGACCAACTCGTTCAGCCCGAAATGGGCTCCGGTTGGAGATAGATACGCCCTCCAGTTTCGCTCAACACTCCACACGTAAATACCGATCCTTGACCCGCCCGTATCCTAGCAGCAACGTGCCGGCGACCAACCATAATTCTCTTGCAGCCTTCCCTCCCGCCTCTTCCCTTCACCCTCGTCTTATCCACCTTTCCTTCTCTTCTATTTACGTTTACCCCCCGTCATGTCTGCCTCATTTATGTAATAGATCGTGAATCTCTAGAGCCTTGCCAGGCATCTCTCCGGCCTGAGACACCGCCGCGTAAAAGAACTTGGGACCTATCAGCGATTCACCTCACTTGCTTGTCTGTTTTTCATCAGCAAAAAACACGGACAGCGGATAGCCCCTTGCCCTCGGATGTGGTCTGTCGCTGCACTTCATGGACCCCTTCCGATTTCAAGAGGCGCGCGAGCAAATATCTCGAAGACCCAACGCCGCGTCCTCCTGAACCTCCCACCAATCGCGCCCACCTCCACACCCGCTCCAACCCAACGCTCATCATGGATTTCAAGTGGGGGTTATCCGTCCTATCTGCGCCAGCCGATGCGGCCGAGAAAAGGAAGGTTTACAAGGTGATTCACGGTAAATGCATTATCACCTCCGGGTGGGCCATCTGTCGCATCACGGGGCGCATCCTTGCCTGTCGATTTGCTGACCTTTTGGCGATCATAATTCAAGCTTGAAGGCGGGAAATGAGAGCAAACAGTATCTTATCGCCCGTGCGGCCACTGTGGGCGGGATCGGGAAAATGGTGCGTAGAAGAAAGCCCATGGGCAAACCGGCGATCGATGTGGAAGAGATACAAGGGAGAAAAAGCTGCAATGTGTTTAGCAGATGGGGTAGAGAAAGAAAAAGTTTTCAAGGGGGAGATTCACGCGGCGCCATAAAAACAAGTCGACCTACGAAACAAAACGGGCTCTATGGTAGGTTCGTATGGGTTAATCTGGGGATGTTTGAGGAAAGTGGCGAGGTGGTGTCCGGCGAACATCCGATTGCTCTCGCCAGAGATGGGGAGTTCTTGCTAGTTGTCAGATCCTGGCATCCTGGCACAATGGACCGGGGCACTCGTCCTTCCCCCCGCCCCCTACCCAGTTCTCGAAAAACATCGCACCCACTTCTGAACCGCTCCATCAACCGATTGCGCCCCCTTCCCGTATCTCTCGCAAGACTTCCCTGTTGTCACCGAGTCCTTGTATGGTTTTGCTTGGATAACTCGCACCCGGTGTGCTGTATCTCTTGGAGCTTCTTATGGTCCTCTGAACCATCGACTTTATGTGCGAGCTTTACCGACGAATTCGCATGTCTCTGGAGCGTCGGGGAATCAGTGGTGGTGCGGATGCTACATGCTTGACCATCACTCCTTTCATTCCTTTCTCTGGCTGGACGAGATAACTCTAATGCGAGTACTACTCAAGTACTGTACCAGGCGTTCTTTTAAAGCACTGGTTTTTTTTCGGCCTTTTCCCATGCTCCCGGGCGAATCAGAGAGTCATGAAAAGGTGAAGAAATGTGGGAGTTCGATCGCGCTTCAAAAGGCCTGCTCGCTGGGCATGCCCTCCTTTTGTTGAAAGCAGAGATCGCTAGCATCTCGAGGGGGTGGCGCGGATATCTCGTTTTTGATCCGCCCGCCCCGCCATCCTCAACGGGTTCCACCTGGACTGTGACGTGCAGGTTTTCAGCACCACTGCGGATCTGTGTCCGCGACTGCCTTCGGTACGGCATCGCCTCCTTTTGACTTGCATTTGTCCTCAGATTACTCCCAAACCCCAGTCATGCAGTTTTCTCGACCCCCACCTGCCCCATCTGTCCCGCAACTCAAACCCCCAACTTCTCCTCCCTTCCTCCCAATCCCAGCGCCCTACAGATTCACCTGCGAGTGCGTTGCCAACCTGCATTTGAAGCGATCCCCCCGGGCCTCCTCGACCTCACGCACATGCCATCTCCTCTAGAGCCAAGAATTGGATGCGGTGCTTCGCTAGGAGACCGCTAGATCCTTGGCAAGAAGCTTCGCGTTATGCTTTTGTCTTGGTTTTGAGGGAGCGGCGGCAAATCCTCGAGCGCACAGATAAGACGAAAAAGAAATACCCGTTTTCTCGCCACTCACCCCTGCCACCGCAACTCCCTATCACACGCCCGCATCTCATGTTTTCCATCCTCGGTTCTTGATCGCCTGTGGCCTTTTCGGCTGCCCGCGAAATCTAGTGGATCAGCTCTCCCCCTTTGGCCGCGATTAGGAAAGAAATGGAGCTTCCTCCCGTGGACAGTGTTTTAGGATTTCAGAGGATGGGGTGGTTACCGGAACGTCAAAGTTCACTCAACTGCAAATTGCTGAGGCACTTACCATCGTCGGTTACCATTTGAAGGGGGAGGGAAAGATATAGGACAGGCTTGGCAAAACATTTTTTACCAAACTAATTTTTACATCTCTAACGGGTATGCGGGCATGGTTGGTTTAGTGGCATAATTACCGCCTGCCACAATGTGCGCGGTAGACCCGGGTTCGATTCCCGGACCATGCAGAGTGTCCATACTACAATATGATTATCGTATTTTGAAGCCGGATTCTTTTGAACTGCGCCTCTCAAACCACATCAGCTAGCGTGCGAACCCGGCGAGATCTGCCACGTCTTAGGGAGTTGGATCACTAATCGACTACAAAGTACAAAGCGTACCCACCCCATCTCGTAGTTCTCGCGGCCAAGCTTGAGCGTCTAGAAGGAGCAGCTCGCGCACCCTTCAGACGATCCGGGCGCAGCGGACGCGACCGTGTCAGTGTCTGCCGTCATGAGTGGACCGTTGCGCTTGGGACGCAGTCGCCCGCTGATGCAAAGGAGGCGGATGCGGACGTCGGAGTGGGCGCAGCTCCGAAGGGGAGGGGAGAAGAGTGGAGAGGGGGCAGCGCTGGTCGCTGGTGGGGAGCCCGCTCCGAAGAGACGCAGGAAGGGCTGAAGATGATAAGCTGCGTGGGTGGGGCGCGGATGAAGGGGACCTCAAAGAGCTCCCGCGGCCCGTTGGAGCCATGCTTTCAGATTTTAACTGAGAAATGCAGCTTTCAAGGCTCGCAAAAGACAGATGACCGGGTTGCGGGTTTGTGTGGGGGTTCTCGTTTTTCTGTTTTCGATCTGTGGAGGGGTATGGAGTCGGCGTTTGTTCGCTGGAATGTGTGGACGTTGGGTCTTCGTTCTCTGGGGTTGGTTGTACCCCTCCGCGATCCGCATTTTTTGCCGCTCTTCCCTATGCAAAAAAAAGTAAATACTTTCTCGACTATCTCTCGCCTGTTCTGCATCCAAAACGATTCTGAGCTGTTTTTTCATTACCCGTCCGTCCTCACATCGGGAGAACGACGAGTTCCGAGCGATGAAATGAAACCCTGCCACAAAAATGCTGTGGTTGCGCTTCCGGAAGATGTTGAGGGTGGCGGGGCGGGCGGATCAAAAACGAGATATCCGCGCCACCCCCTC